AAACGCCCACTTTAGAGGCTCAGCGAAATCTTCCATTTCAGTGTAGGGATGGACTGTCGGTGCAATCGCGATTTTCGGCTGAAACTGCGCTAAAAATGATCTCATTCTCTCTTGAATGGCAAATTTTCTTTCCAGACATACTGTAAAAGACTGGACTCCATTTTTGAATAACAATGATCCGCAAAGAATAGTTTCACAATAGACACAACAGGTAGCCAATAGGAGTTGTATTTAGGTGCGGCGGCAGGTGCATAGTTTTGCGTGATATGCATAGCTGAGCGAGATAGGCATGACCTTGGGCTCAAAAAAGGTACCTTTAAGACCGGTTTAGACAGACGCCAAACTTTTCATGAACTGAACCTAAATTATTCAGATCAGCTAGAATTGATTAACAAATTTCTCGAGCCATGAGACGACGACTTTTAAGCCAGTTTTGCGTTGCAGTTGTTTGAGGTAGCGCCGAAACTTGCAAAGCTGAATAAAAAATTGTGCTCAAGTTGTTTCGCATAACGTACCCCAATTTTTCGCGCAACGCGTCCCTAGAACCCCACTCGCTACCATTTTTTGCGTTAAAAGGAGTACCGGTTTATAACATACAGTATGTTGCCCTGTATCAGGCCAGTACCAGTATCCGGCCACTTAAGACAAAAACTCAATTTTTGCAGCGCCCTTTGTAGTTTTCAGTAAACAAAGTATTTCGAAAGAAAGCTAAAAGTTCAGCTTTAAGAATACAAGTTTTGGCGGGTTTACAGCTTGAGAAACAGTCGCAGAAGGCGCCGTTCTGTTCAGGTGAGTAAACATTTCATGGCTAATATTTATGCTAATATAAGGGTTGGTAATATGTGATATTTTCAAAGAAACTGTTTTATATTTATAGTGAAGATACTTAAACAAGTCAGGTTGTCAGAAAATTCATTTATTATTGATGTCAGGTGCCCAATATCCGGCCAGTTTTTTCTTTGCTGTGCAGAATCGATGAATTAGCTGCGTACATTATCCAGGCAAGATTTATTTCATATCTATAACAATAGTTAAAGCCGTAGGATATATAATATAATCTGTATAATGTAATTCTACTCAACCCCTTATGGAAATTTTCTTCACTCATTCAGAGGCGAATTGATTTCGTGTACACGGCTTGTTTCGCGTGACTGCATTTTCTGTGTAGGGACCGATCGTTTATTACGTCCTGGGGGCGGGCGTTCAGAAAAGTGTGGTGTATCAAAACTTTAACTCCCCAAAAAATTACGTATGAAAATTGTATCCCCCCTTGGTAATAACAATTTTTAAAATGCACACCCTCCCTCCAGCCCCTTCTAGACTAAGTCTCTTCTTCCATCCTTGGGCATTGATTTCATAAGCTATAAGATACCGGTACTCAGGTAGCCTGCGTAGCAAGCGTTTCTGTTTGGTTTCGGGGCAAAGAAATACCGAGGAAGGGGACTTTCGGTTTTGACCGCGCGAGAAATGAAACGAGAGCCAAAAAGTGAAAGAGGGGGGAGGGGGAGGGGAAGGAAGGAAACGCTTGCAGACAAACCCCTCGATTTTGAAAACCAGCGTTCGCCAGCGAACGCAGCGCCTGATTGGCTCGGCTAGTCGAACAATGTTGACATGTGTCGATCAAAGGTTTGTTTCATACTGAGAGGTCATTGCCTGATTTCATACCGTGGGAGCCTGGCACTATTTATCGGTTTTGCCGGACGGAAGTGCACTTCAGTTTGATGGCGTAGAGGTGGCGACTTACACGAAAACTTGGCATTGGAATTGTGCCAGTTCTTTGTGTACGAATAATTACAGAACTAAAGGAATAACGTCCTACACTTTGCCCAGCGATCCTGAGCTTCAAAAAGGATATAGGAAAGTTCTTATGAACGAAAATATTAACTGGAGAAAACATGTTATATGCAGCGCTCACTGGAGCTCGGGGAAACGAGAGAACAAGAATCAATTGCCAGACATAATTTGTACAAAAGAATATGCTGCTAATCTGGAAAAAGAGTACTCCCAAAAACCATCTAGGGAATTGAAAAGGAAAATTGACTGTACAAAAACGGTTCTTACTTCGTCGAATGCCAATACCGTGAGGAGTACTCCTAGGAAACCCCCGAAAGACAGGAGTGAAACTCCCGTACCGCGTGTTAAAAAGCGACGGGTTTCAGCTGCGAACGTAGAAAAAGAAAATCAGAAGCTTAAAAGTCAAGTGGAAAGTTTGACGAGAGAACTAAATGGAAAAAAAGCTTTGATTGAAGATTTACAGCAACAGCTGTCAAAGACTCAAACAGAACTTGAAAAAAATGCTGCGAACAACAGTCAGCAACTCAATGCAATGAAGAAAGCACTCGAAGGCCAAACTTTTAGTTATGAAGCACTTATGAGATACCCAGATAGAATTTACTATATGACAGGATTATCACTTTCCGAATTAGATTGTCTATATGAATGTTTGGAGCCTTTCTTGCACACAATTGTTTATCCTGATTGTAACAATGACGACTCGTCCTATCTTAGAAAGCTGGACACAAAGACAGAACTTATCAGTTTCTTGACAATTTGTAGACATGCATTGGACCTTGGTGTTATTGCATGGATGACTGGTTCAAGTATATCAACTATGAGTAGAATTTTTGTAGGATGGTGTGTATTCCTGAGCACCATTTT